CCTAGCCTCAGTGCACAGTGTTTTGATATGGGCTTTTACCTCCTGAGTGGAGGAGATATACCAGCACAGAGGATTTTGGCAACCTTTTGCCACAATGCCGGACAGAGACTGCTGAAATTTGGTTTGGACACTCTTTATCCGTGTTAACTGGGAGATGCTGAGTTGGGTGTAGGGGAGGTGGAACCCTGAGACATGGGACCCGTGGTATCTGTGTGAAGGCTGTTTGAGGGCATGGAAGATCAACCTCTCTATTTTCTGTAACACTAAAGACATGGCAGGCAAGAACTTATAGCACCCACGGAGATGCCTGAATCAGCAAACTGTCTACACACTGGAGAACAAATACACCCTCTCTGAGCAAGAAATCCCACTGATCATGAAAGGACAAGCACGGCAGGTTACAGTGAGCTCTCGTGGGCTGGGTCAGAAAGCCTGCCCCTGCAACAACTCACCAAAACTCCCTATGTTGGCTTTGGGTCAACAGGGAGTGTTTGGGAGCAGGATTTATGTGCAAAGATGAGATCATGGGGTAGTGACAACTTGGGGCTAGGGCCCAAGCCAAACTCTCTCTCTGCATGCCCCTGCCCTGTGCGGGATGGTGTGTATATGGTGGTGTGTGGCGAGGGGCTGCCTGGGCACTAGGATATCCAGGGGTAAAAAAAAAACCCATGGGGAAAAAAGGGGGAATGGTGAATGCACCACTCAAAACCAGAGCCTGACCATCCGGAGCCATAATGTGGCTGCTGGCCAGGCTCCACATAGCAGGATTGCTGCTGCTGCAGCTCCAAGAGGCCCTCAGGAACCCAGGAAAGGCTACTAGGGCTAGTCCAGTGCTGGCCCCAACCTCCCCTACCACACCTGGGGTAACTTGCCATGTGCCAGAGGGTGTGTGGCACAGGCATTCCCTGGGGACAACTAGAAGTGGCACAAGGTGCAGTCTGCTAGTTGTCCCCAGTAAACCAAACATCGACACCATGTGTGGATGTGGCTGTAGTGGTTAAGGCATTAATTTAAGAGGGAAGAGTTCTGCCTTCTCTCCGCTGAACTGTTTATATGTTTTATTCAATGACTCATTTTTGCAAAATACTGAAACAGCAGTGGGTGAGAACAAGAGTCAGAACCTGCCAAATGTGTGGAACATAATTTTTTCCCATATATTCTAGGATTGTAAATGTCCACGGCACCTACCAGAAAACTATAACAAACATATAACTCATTGAATGCTGAAATACATTAGTTTTATAAACCCAGTCCTTAAGCTGGCAAGATATTGTATGGTTTGTACAGCACTAAGCATAATTTGACTCCTATAGGCTTTCCCAAGGGAACTTCTTAAATGCTGCGTCAGAGTACCTCCATTATATCCTTGAGTTCTTTTATGAAAAGTGTGGTATTTCCCCACTCCAAAACCTTTCTTTCCTGCCTTGTATAACCTAGGACCTTTCTTGAGCAGAACCAGTTAATAATATTAAATAAAGCCTGACTGCTTTTGCAATATCTATAATCATTCACTTAAATCTTCAGTTGTATTTTGGTGAGCCCAATGCCACTAATATGCCAGGTCAGCTCTGAGAATTCCAGTTAAATGATTATGGATGGGCTTTTTAGTATGACATGATTAATATAACATATACTAGTTCTTTTTTCTCTAAAATAGATGGAGTATTAGTATGCTTGTTATACGAGTATAATGACTAACTTCCAGATTGTACTATATTAAGTGTATTAACAAATATGTAGAAAATGCTGGAAGTACCTGTATTATTGTTGCTATGTACTTCCAATAACATTTTCAGTTTCTAAGATCCACTCCCTTTTTCCACCTAAAAGAGGGAGTGAAAGATAATACCTATAGAAAGGGGAGTTGGTAAAAAGTTACAATCAAAACTGAAAAAACCACAGACCTTCAGCCAATGGAGTATGGGTAACTGGATAGATGGGTTTCCTCTTCCACACTTTTAAGAATTCCAAAGGTGTGATCCTAGATCAGGAAACAACATGTAAGAGCCAAAGAAGAGAGGGCTGCAAACAAGGAGAACTTGAGTGCTCATAAGTTCAGAGGGATCATGAATAGACAAACAATTCTTTTCTTTTTCATCCTTCAGACTGCCTATATATTCAACATTATTTGGGAAGCAGTATCTTATGGGAAGTTGCTTTTCATTGGCACCCAATGGAAGAAAATATTATGGTACATTGCTGAAATACCCCAGGGTAATGTTTTCTCTCATCTGAACTGTTATAACCCTGCATGGAATCTGTCATGGTAGGAAATTAGCCTTCTGAGAAGTTTTTAGGCTACCAGAATATCTATATCATATAGATATAAACCAAAGACGACAACTTTCCTAAAGTGCACAAAGAAAACCAATAGGATATGCCATCAATACTGCAAAGGAGACCTGTTCAGTGTTAGACTTATGGTCCATGTTAGCTTCAGGGCTAGGTACAGACGGTCTAAAAGCCTGAGGCAGAATTGATCTACGTTACTCAGTTTTCTGAAAGTATCACGATTTAGATCAGTAACGAACAGAGCACACAGTAGCCTTTTGTGGAAGGGGGTGGAGGGAGTAAATCTTAGACTGGGTTCTGACATTTTTAAACCAGTCTGTGTGTTTCAGACTTCTGTTCTGTTATGGGGATAGTCCAGTTTTGTGTACTTTACTTCTGTTCTGTTACAGGTACAGGCTGGTTTCTGATCACTTATACACGTAAAAGTTTAATGTCTGTACCTGGCCCAGAGGTTAAGTGTTTATCTGAGCTTTAGAGGTTAGTTGTTACCAGTTGTAAGCAAGACAGAAAGAAACTAGTACCTCTCTCTAGTTGTAAGTCAGGCAAGGTAGTGACATTTGTACTTTTATAAGTTACCAGAAACTGGTCTGTAACAGAACAGAAGTTCAGCACACACAGACTGGTTTAAAAATGGTGGAACCTGGTCTAAGACTTACACCCCCACCCTCACCAAAGTGCGAATGTGTGTTGTGTTCACCACCGATCTAAACTACAACGCTTACAGAAAACCATGTAACTTAGATCAATTCCACCTCAGAGTTTTTGAATGCCTGTACTTAGCCTTAGATTACACTTCTAACTTAGAGAAAGGTACCTCAAACTCTTTCAAAATATATCACAGGGGGCAAAAATCCAGCCAGCTGAAAACACCTTCAGCCATTAAGTTCTGCTGAACCATTTGACAAATCTTTGCTTGATAAATACAGTAAGCTTAAATGATCTGTGAGGGGAGCTTATATATTTTTAAATAGTAATGCAAGGATACTGTGCTTCCCTCTGTTGTTTCATGCTTGACAATATGGCTATCCTTCCTGACAGCTTGACATGATGTTAGTTATTTTAAGTGTCAGATGAGAGTGGCTGATGCCACGGTACTGCAGTGCTCACATTTGTTGGAAAATTAGATAGTGATCTTTAAAAAACAGCTGCTTAAGCCTCTGACTGCCTAGGTTTTCTATGCTGGTGTGTAATTTGAGTGAGCAGTAGCCAACATGCCTGAGGTGTTAAGAGAATGATGCATTTCCTATAGGCATGAATATTCTTAAATAAAACAGGAACACCTTACTGTCATTTGTTGTATTTCAGAAGGATTTTTTTAAAGGAAATGGAAGCCAATTAGCCCGGAAGTTTAACCTCTCTTAGCTTAGCTTCTTTTATGAGAGCTTTTTAACCTTTTAAATAAATCATTTTCTTTTATTCTTTCTTTTCTCTCCAGTCTTTGAATCAGTTCCTAGCATTTCTCACGCTGGGCCTAAGGAGCAGGCTGCTTAAATTCAAGAATGATTCTGAGGGGATAAAGTGTACAAGATTTTGAATTCTTGCCATAAGTCCCTGGCAGACAGCCAGAAAACCTCAGAGGAATAAGGCTAATGAAGGGAGGGTAAAGAAGATCTGGAGTGTGGTTGGTAATGCAGTATTCATTTAATTGGGAGCAGGTATCAGTGCAAACTTCTCCATTTTAATTGGAAAAGGGAAGGGGGCTGTTAAGGAGGAAGGGGAAAAATAAGAATGCATAAAGTTCTCAAGCCGAGAAGCCAAAGGCAGCCCTGTATATGGCAGAGAAAGAACTCAATTTAGGGCAATTTGCTCTGCAAGCTGGGCTGCAATCTCCCCTGGGGATAGGGATGAGGAAGAAAATGAAACCAAAAGAGAACTTGATAAAATCACCTAGCACAGACAATCTCAGTAGAATAGGTTTTACTGAGTTAAATCTGCCCCAATCAATGTGATTCTTTTCATATAAGTTACAAATAAAAAGCCACAAGATTACAATAAAAATCGAGGATGTAGTGCTGCTGATGTTGCACATGGGAGTCTTAAGGACTTGTTGTGGAATATAGGTTTTTTGCAACCATTGTGTTTGTTTTTTCTTTTCAACCAGCCAGGAGAAGAAAACTCATCTTTGCCTCCTCCCTAACCCTTTATTATCTTTAAATGACGGGTACTGGTAACATGTGAACCTCATTGAGCTTAATTTTCAATGCAGTGTAGGTCTGAGCCTGCTTTAGTCCTGAAATTTGCTAAACTTGAACTCAATCTTGATTTCTTATTAAAAGACCTAAGGCATTTTTGCATGCTCTTTTTTACTTTAATGCATGACAGAAGAAAGTAAAAACATGAAAAGCTGCTTTCTGCCCCTAATATCTGCACCAGTGCCTGTGTGAAGGTGATAGTAAGCACGTGGCAACTCTGGATCCACTGGAAAGGCTTTGTTTGCTATCCTCTACATAACATGTATGTGTGCAAACACCCTGCCTCTGTAAATTCAGATGTTGAAAATATGGGTGCATCCAAAACAATTACCAGGACAGTTTTATGTTCTGTATTTGGAGGCCAGTATGAGGTGGGATTTTCTGTTGTCGTTCACAAATGTAAAATGAACTCTACGTGGATAAGGACCTCCCTGGAGGCAGAACTAGTACAAGCTCTGAATGTCCCTGGTAGACAGCTGATCTTATTGTTTCTGAGAGGGTTGAAGTAGTTACTATAGGATAATTAGTGAACCAGCTAGGGGGCATGGAGGGAGATATGTCAGGGTATTTCTGTGAAGAGAAGTCATGTGTTATATGCAGTTTTGACAGAGTTACTGGGGGAACAAAGTTTTGGAGTAAGAAGAAGAGACAGGTGGACAACTAGAAGGGGTTGTTTGCTCAGGAAATGCAATGCCACTTTGGGAGAAGTGAGCTGATGGAGGTGTTCTGATTATTTTCTCCCCATACTCCTGGTTCCCTCTGGGCATATCTGCACAAGACATTTACTGTGGAGTAGACTAATTAGTACAACAGTAAACATCTTGCATCTACACATGCAGCCCTATTAGGCTGCAGGAAACTAATTAACTGTGCAGTAGGGTAGTATGTGTAAATACAGAGTTTTTGCGTGCAACAGCACATGTAGATGCTGACCCAGCTGGATCAGGCACAAGGGTGTTTCAACGTGTGGGCTGCCTGCAGGCTAGCCCTGCACTGGAGCACCCTCATGCCCCAGCCAGCCCCTCCACAGTATTTCGAACCATGTTGGACCAGCCCTGGGCTGGCAGGCTCACCCCTAGAGCCCCTTGCCAGCCAGGGCTGCTCCAACCTGGCTCAGTGTGCTGTGGTCCTGGGTGCACATTCAAACGGCGTGCCCAGGAGCAATAAATTTTGATGTGATGCACACCAGAGTTTATTGCTGCATGCTAATAGCACATGTAGATGTGCCGTCTGCTACGTTCTCTGCTGGCTGTCTCAGGGAAAGGCATGGACCATCAAAATGGATCATAGCCGGGTGACATATGTGGGCACTGCTGTATTTTTATTCTTCAATTTACTGCTGACAATGGTCCCATGGCTCTAAGTGTACCAAAGACTGTGCCACAATAGGTTTACCATCTTAGAGAGAAAGAGATAGGGGCAGGGCAAGAATAATGGCATATTGGAAATCAAGGCAAAGATGTACTTTCAGATCTTCTTGTAAAGCTGAAAATAATGGTCGGGCAAAGAAAACGAATGAGAAAATGGGTGTCACACAGCTTAAAAATTATCACCCTGTTACAGGTACAACTTTTGCTCTTTTTTTTTTTTTTTAAACATTCAGGCTGTTAGAGAGCTTTCCATTTCTCAGATTGTGCCAAATGATCAGGCTTTGGATTTGAGCTCCCAAGTGCAATGTAGGTGGAACTTCATACACTTGGTATTCTAAAGCAT